CTGCGCCGAATACGTCCGGAGTCAAGTGGGACCCATGGTACGCGCTTTGGACGAACAGGAAGGCGTTCAAACACATCTGTCACCACATGGATATGCATCGATTGCTGCGTCTCAAAAGACCAATTTACTTTCATTGTATCTTTGAGGGCAAACTGGGGAGAAGTGGGTTGATGCATATGGTCAGGTGTTGAGGTGGAAGGAGCTGAGTGACGAGATCTCATCTTCCTTTTTCCCCCGCGAAAACTTCTAGCAGTTTTCTTTTTTATTAATTGAAGTGTTCTACATCGTGCAAGAAGTTCACTACTAAGGAGATAGCTATCAGCTAGAAGGTTACGCAGCTGGCGCAGTCTAGTAGATGAATAATGGAGGCAGGACATCTCTTTCAAGTTAAAATCTACTCAAAACAAAGAAACACTTTTGTGGCTTGACTTGTCGCCGCACAGCGTTCCACATAGTGTCATTTGGAAATTAATTATCAATCAATAAAAATTTGTGAGAAAACTCCTGATTATGCGTAAGTGTAAAGATTTCTGAACTATCTAGTAAGCGAATCAAAAAACCGGAAGTAATATATTGATAGCCTTGACTGTCTAATTTTATATAAATTAAGAATGGAATAATTCTAATAAACCTAGTAATTTTCGAAATAAATTACATTCCTACGTCCAGGAGTCTTGAGTTACAAACTTGTCCCAACTATTGAGGAATATTATTTGAAAAACACATTCCAAAAATGAAAAAATGAAGAGAGATTTCACTGCTGCCTATCAAGCGCTAGTGAACCGGAAGTATAAAGATGCGGTGGCAGAGATTGTACAGAGGGCAAAGGATGACTACTGGAGCTCAAAGCGGATTTTTCTGTGCGCGTTTATCGTGTGCGCATATTTCGGGCCACCATTTTTCAGCCCATCAAATTATGAAATCAAATTGTTTTTCAAAATATAATTAAACAACCCCTAAACATAAAACTTTTTCGGTTTGATCCTTTATATGCATTTTTTATTATTTTAGTTCATATTAATATTCTCATGACTTACTCTCTGTCCCACCGCAAATTTATTTCTCCAACTATTTCAGAAAAAACAAAAGCAAATACTACGCACCAAAAGTATTTGAAAAAAAAAATGGTTAAGAATCTTGTGGATTCTTAATTGTAAATCATCTTTTTCAAAAGTTTACAAATTTTTGGGGACATTTTTTGCCTCTGCTCAAATCATTTATGTTTTAAAAAAATAATCTCGGTGTAATCATATTTCCTTCCAGATCCCCTGGAAAAATTGTCATTTTTTAGGGGTTATGGTTGGGGGTGGGCATTGTTTTTCCAAGTTTCAGGTTGACGGGAAGTGGGTCAGAATATTTTGTCAATCCGCCAGCCACGAACAAAATCAAAGTTAATCTAAAGGACTTAAATAGAGCAATATATTTTTTTTAAAACAAGCAGCAGATTCCATCTGAACTAGTCAACAAAGGATGTCTAAATCTTGTCTTTGCAAAATATAAAATATTCATTTTACGTTTAAACGTAGATTTTTGAAGATGCTCTCCCTTGTATTACTAGTTTGTATCATTTTCAACCAAAACTCTACATCTGTTGTACTTCAGGCTGTACTTCGTGGTGGTATACACTATAAGTTTGGTCATTTTGCATTGATCCCTTAGTGTGCATTATGCAGGATGTGTCGTTAAAAACTCTGTACTAACTTTTATTCGTGTTAAATGATTTTGTAGGGAAGGAAAATATTAAATAATAATTAGTGTATTAGTAGGACACATACATTCTCATTCAGTGTTTCTTAAGATTATCGGGGGGGGGGGGGGCAGTGCCACTTGGTTGGACATATTTTTGCTCCGGGGGTGGGGGGCACTTGGCTGCCCCCCCCCCCCCCCCCCCCCCCTGAAATAAACCCTGCATACATTTACCAATGAAGATTCACATCTGCTACATTTCAAAGCAGGTAGGATTGTAAAACGCTGCTGTCCAATCTCCATAAATGCTCGAGATGATCATTTTTATGTACATATCATTTTACTGTACCCCCTGACTTTTTTGTAATTTTTAATGAATCGAGACAGCAAATTTTCATATTATCTGGAGCTTAAATAGATTAAATTTAAATAACTATGAATCAGTGACTGGTAGGAAATTTTAAGTTACCTGTCATTAGGAGGAGACTTGTTTGAAACAATTAAACATGGTATAGAAGTTTGTTTGTTCAGATTTATGTAGGTGGGGTGTGAATTTTAAATTTTGCCTGAATTTAAAAATTAAAAAATAAACAAAAAAACAGTAAGATGAGCAGTATCAGTAGTAGTTGAGAGAAATTAAAAGACAATCCATTAAATTTGTATTGTATTGTAGACACAGTTTATTTGTACAAACCAACAAATAGAAAAGTTGTGACATTGAAAGGATGACATGTGGCCAGTTGCACACAGCTCTTACACAAATGATATCTGGTGGTTTAATGACAATGTAATTTAAAATGGCAAATGTCATGCCCCATTAGATCATGTTCCTTCTCTTGTGGTCATCCAACAAATAGGACAGGGTGTATAAAAGGTATAAAAGTTGTTACAAACGGTTGTGATATAAAAGAAATGAACATTGTTGTTTTTTTTACCCCGTAAAAATTGACGGGGATTAAATCATGAGACAAATACACGAACATGGAAATACAAGTTTGAAAAAAGTATTAAAAAGTAAAAAACATTATTGTCTGATATAGGACCTTACAGGTACAGTTATATACATTTTAAAACTTAACAGATATGTTAATGTATATGTACAGTTTCTCATTTGCTTATAGCTATTTAATGTATATGTACAGTCTCAGGTGGGGGGGGACTGTGACTTAAAGATGGTTGTGATGGTATCACAACAACAAAGACGATGCTGGACTTGGAGGCAGGCTTATTAATTAGTAGCTTTGAGAAAACAATCATCAATGAGAAAAGACGATGCAAAAAAAAAACAAAAACCTTTGGGTCGGGGAGGAGTTTTCTTATGCCACATACACATACACATAGACTATATGTGAATTTTATTTACATTGATATAGTTTGTGATACAATGCGACATTTACAAAAGTATTGATATACAAGATAATGTATGATTACAGATGTTATATTTGGTATATATATAATGTGTATATATATGTGTGTGTATTAGCTTTATCTTTTACTTTGGATACATCCTCATACAATAGGAAATACACAGTTTCATTTGTTAATAAACATAACACATGTATGATACATGAGTGCAGTGATGAGCTTCAAAGTGAACACACCTTGACAAGATTGAATCTATGGTCAATGTAACAAATCTGAGATTTAAAGATCAACACCTAAATTGGTTGAATTTTCGAACGCTGATATTTAGGTGACTCCTTGAACACTGATATAACTCCTTTGTCTTTGTTGTAGAAAAAATTCCATATAAGGTTACACCTTGATTTCTGCTATAGATGAATAAGGTCACATCTTTGTTTCTGCTAGAGATGAATAAGGTCTCGTCTTGGTCTCTGATGTAATTAGGTAGAATCACATCGTAGGTGGCTTTAGTTAAGTCTTGGTCTCTGCTATAGATGGGTTTCCGAAAAATCAAATTGGCAATCTTCCATGGCACGTTGCTCTTCCTAATAGATTGGACATACTATGCCCAGCAAATTGCTGCGAAGTTTCATTTCAATCCTTCTAAATTATGTTCACATATTTTGTTATATTCGTTTGAACACTTTCTCCATTGTTAATTATTGAGCAAATTGAGTTGAATGCAAATTAGCCTTGTATCCCTATGGGGTGGCCTCATCTGTGTGTGAGATTCTACAGGTACCTAAGCCACTCAAAGTAGTCCAGGTGCTCATAGACCCAATCCATGTAGTTTGGGAGTCGGGTGAAGACATTGGGGAAATTTGTGGCCGAGCAGTTGTTGATAAGCCAGGACATGACCCCAGCCACATAGAACCTTCCATGGTCCTCACACATCAGTGGTCCCCCTGAGTCCCCCTGTGACATTGGAGCAGGTTTTAAAAGAATTTAGTCAAATAAGAATATGAATTATTTAAAAAAAATAAAAAGAATATTAAATATAAAAATTTATTCAAAGAATGATTCAGAAAAATATGCAGAGTTTTTGTGAGCAATTAAAATATCTATAATTTCAAAGCTTCTACATTTAGCTCTTTCTTTAAATATATATGCCTCTTACAGTTATACAGTCATTTACATTTTTCATTAAATTTTTCCCCTCAAATATTCTTCAGTAAAATTAAATAATATGAATGTCTGATGTCAACCAATTTTGACAAACAAGACATATTTACAATATTTACTGGATGAAATAAAAAGAATGTTAATAGTTAAACAAAAAGTTAAGGTCTTTGGCGATAATTTGACAGACAGCTCTGACAACTTGAGTCAAGCAACTAGCAAGACGGGGTAAAACCCAGACAAATGGCAAATATATTTTTTGTATGAGGGAAGTGTATAGTGGTATGTCATGGGCATTAGATCTGTCAAGAGCAGTGACAGCCTCATTAGATCTGTCAATAGCAGTGACAGCCAGATTAGATCTGTCAAGATCAGTGACAGACAGCACGTGTACTGCCTACTTACGTAACAAGCTCCTGTATCTCCATAACCCAGGCAGACCTGAGTTTCCAGGACGTCAATGTTGACCTTGCCCCACATTTCGGCACATTCCTCATTGGCCACTACATCAACAGGGACCTCATTCATGGTATTCTCTGTCCCTCCAGTACCTGGTTTGTTCATGATAAACATTAGTCGTGGTGACATGTGACACACACACACACACTAATAATTCGTAACGATGGCATGGCATCAATATTTTCCAATTACGTTAATGTCATGCTATCCATATAACAACTCATGTTCCCACTAAAATAAGTCAAATGATAATCTCTTCTGATCTCAAGGACCGCACAATTCTCTTCTCTTATTAAATTTGCTTTTTATATAAAACAATTTAATGGAGACCTAATAAGAAGATCTAAAAAAAGTGACATTGTCAGCTCAAAACTGAACAACCAAATAAAATTTAATTTAAATTTATGGATGCTTTTTATAAAAAAAAATCCTATTATGTGAAGAGTTGATCCTGTTATGTGAAGATTTGATCCTATTATGTGAAGAGATGATCTTATTATGTGAAGATTTGATCCTATTATGTGAAAAGTTGATCCTATCGTGTGAAGAGTTAATCCAAGGATCCTACATAATTAGAACATGAAATATTAACCAAATTTTACTGTTTCTGGAATATGGTGAAGTTTGCTGAAATAGAGATCTCATAGAAGGTGAATGCTATTGCTTTAACCCCCCCCCCCCCCCACAAAAAAAAAAAAAACAAACCTCGAATGCCCTCACGCCCCCAATGCTATAGCGGCCTTACCTCTAGACACCCCCCCCCCAACAATGCTAGAATGTCCTTACCCCTGGTCTCGCCCCAGCCACTGATCCAACAATGAGTGCCAGCTCCAAGTTGCATACTCCTGTCTGGTAGACACGCCGTCTGAACATCGCCCGAGGTCAGATCAACGGGTGAGTCCAGCTCTAGCAGAGCCACGTCATTTGGGAAGTTGCTTGTCCGGACATAGCCAGGATGCTGTCAATTACAAAAGATAATTCACGTGTAACCAAAATGGTGGTTTGTTAACGGGGTTTTCCTATTCGTTTAGTGCTTCTAACACGTGTGTCAATGGGATCTTTTCAGTTTCATTGGCTGAGACTGAGATGTTCATGATTCTGATTGGGGTGCTCATTAAGCTGACTGCTGTGCTCGTGAATATGGGAATGGGTGTGGTAGTGTCTCTAATCGGGGTGCTAATGATAGAGAAATTGGCGCTAATGAACCTGAATGGGGATGCTCAATATCTGGGACATAAAACTAGCTATCAAACTTTGATCTCAACATTTGCTGTACTAATGTATTATATGACCCCCATGCTGCTAGCTGACCGTGACCGCCAATATTAAACAAACTTACACTTATGACCCGCACAACGTCTCTGTAGATCTCGTTTCCTGACACAGTGTCAAGGTCATAGTCTGCCATGACCACTCGCCAGTTCCGTATGTCCCCATAGAATGACCTGGCGATCAGAGATGCATTCAAATGGGACATTTATATATTGAAATGTTGCATTCGTGTTTAAATGGGACATTCATGTCTTTAACTGTGATATGCATGTGTTTGAAGGTGACATTCATGTGTTTGAAGGAGACATTCATGTGTTTGAAGGAGACATTCATGTGTTTGAAGGAGACATTCGTAAGTTTATTTATGACATGCAGGAATCAAAATCTCTGGAATCTTAGAGTCAAATAATGACAGGAACGCGAAAACTCTGTCTTTACTCGTCCATTTCACTATTTACGATAAGGCAAAAACTTTCAATTTACATATTTCCGAAAAAGAAATATTTTTTTAGACTGCAAATTTTATTTTTATTGTTTCACTAGCAACTTTTAAAATTTAAATCAAAATTATAAGTAATACAAAAATAGGTCTTTACAGTATCTAAAGAGTATACAAATAGAGGAAATTATGACAGGTAAAAAGAGGCAGTGTATAATAATGTAATGGAGAACAACAAAGTATTACTGCCTAATAGTATGATTGAAGAAAACTATGACAGAATACAGCCGATTAGGTGTGTATGATAAAGTAGATGTTTCTAAAAATGTGTAGGAAAGTCTAACAGAGTAGGTGTATCTGACAAAATAGGTGCGTCTAAGAGTAGGCGTGTCTAAAAGGTGTGCCTCACATGACCATGGGTGAGATGAAAAAAAAAAAGCTCCTCTCTTACCCCTCCACACAGTGTGCCGCTGTAAGCACCCATCTCTCGTGCACCAGGACACCCCCACATCTGTGCCATGGTGTGGTCGAGGTAATAATCTGTAAGGACACCTGCCAAGGCCACTGACCGGAGCGAGACTTCCGTCCACCAATAATCAGAGGCCTGGCCAAGACTCCACACTTATCTGTAAGTCAATATCAAGTCACGTGAACATTGCATGAAACATAGATAATATCAGATCTATTCTATTAATAGTATCTACAATATTGGTCACTCGTCAAGTCTGGATTGAATTTTAAAAAACAACTCAACACTGTTCCATAGAACTCAATGTATGTAAGAACTCTACACTGTTCCATAGACTCAATGTATGTTAGAACTCGACACTGTTCCATAGAAGTCAATGTATGTTAGAACTCGACCTTCACTGCTGACCCCACCACGACCACCACCAGCACACAAACAAGACAAGGTCAATGTTCTGTGTACCCAACTGATGCTGCCGAGACTGGAGGACTATGGTTTGTTTGTTTGACCAATCATTCCATGAGAACCTCGAGCCGATGAGCCGCCACGTGCAAAACAAGGTCATGCATGAGTATGTGTCACATATCTGAAGAGAAAACAATGGCATATTGAAATCCGGGTATTCAAGACGCACCTGGTGACATATCGCTGGACAAGGCGACTTTGGTTTTATGAATTTACTGGGACAACAACTGGGCATCCCAGAAACTTAAAAGCCGTGTTGACCAATGGCTCTCTGGATGCCTCCTGGTCACCGATAGAGGTCAAAATTCAAACCTTAAAGCCCAGAAACAAATCTGAAAGGATTGCGGGGAATTAGCCACTAAAACGCAATGTTAGCCCAGATGATGAGTTCGTCATGTGTTCAAACACACAAAAACACACATCACACGTCATACACCACAAGTCACACATAACACACAACTATGGTCCCCGCCACGTTTGTTATTGATATCAACAATATAATATTGAATCTGTGAGGTCGATACAACGCAAAGTCCCAAGTGTGCTCTCTAAAACGCCTGGACTTGGCCGTGTCCAGACAATGAAATCCGGGTGAAAATTGCTGACCAACTGCCCAACAATAACACACTAGACTATCTGCCTAACCAACGAATGTCTAGCAATAGCTGTACCAGAAGTGAGATTACAAACTTACTGTATTTCTGATTGGTTGAAATAAATTTGTAAAACTTTGCTTTCTTATATGTAGACCTGAGCTCATCTGTAGGCCTGACTTCATCTGTAGGCCTGGGTTCAGCCACTGAGTTCACTCAAGGTTATTGTTGATCGAATAAAATCTCAATTTATACTCATAAATTGTCCATTATCAGACAGTTTATCCAGTAGACGCGATATTTAAAATATCAGTGTTTTTTGTCAGAGCGTTGCCGCACTGGAGAAGTGAGCAGTGTCTGATGGTGAAATCATGGAGAAGTGAGCAGTGTCTGATGGTGAAATCATGGAGAAGTGAGCAGTGTCTGATGGTGAAATCATGGAGAAGTGAGCAGTGTCTGATGGTGAAATTATGGAGGCGTGAGCAGTGTCTGATGGTGAAATTATGGAGAAGTGAGCAGTGTCTGATGGTGAAATCATGGAGAAGTGAGCAGTGTCTGATGGTGAAATTTTGGAGGCGTGAGCAGTGTCTGATGGTGAAATTATGGAGAAGTGAGCAGTGTCTGATGGTGAAATTATGGAGAAGTGAGCAGTGTCTGATGGCGAAATTATGGAGAAGTGAGCAGTGTCTGATGGCGAAATTATGGAGAAGTGATAAAAATATCTGATGTCTATAAATGACTTATCATAACTAAGCATTAAGTCATTAAGCATTAAGCGTAGCTAGACCTTGTACCACCCATGGTGATCCTTGAAGTTCGACACTAACAATAATACGTATCAAAAGGTATTATAATTTGATCACTGGTAAAGAGATCGGGATTGGGGGCGGGGGTGCCAGATCCATGTTACATTCATCATCATCATGTCCCTTAGTCCTTGGACCGCTGGGGCGCCATCATCATGTCCCTTAGTCCTTGGACCGCTGGGGCGCCATCATCATGTCCCTTAGTCCTTGGACCGCTGGGGCGTCACAGATAAAATGAAAACTATCCTGCATTCCTCTTTGTTTTCTGCACTACACACAGCATCGCCTAGTTTTAGTCCTGTGCACTCTTAGATGTTATCTTCCCATCTGTATATCTGTCTTCCTCTTTTTCTCCCTCTTCTTGTGGTGCCCTGCATGATTTCTTTGGCGAGCCCTTGTTTTCCTGTCACGTGGCCAGTTTGCACTTTTTTTTACAGTCACCAGAAGGTCATCGTACTGCTCAATTGCTTGACGAACCCTTTCTTTCACTTGTTCATTGGAGATATGGTCCCTAGAGCAGCTGCCAAGAATGCTTCTGAAACAGCTCATCTCCATCGACTTTATTTTTCTTTCAAATTCTGCTGTTAATGTCCAGGACTCGCAGGCATACAAAAAAAATTGAGAGGACTAATGAGCGCATCAGCCTGATTTTGGTGCTATATTTTTTTCATTCCTGTTACAGAGAACTTGTTTACATCATATTTTCTCGTGCGTGCCCTCTGATTGACCCCGCATGAGACGCTGTGTTCACAAAGGGGTGTGGCTTAGGCCTTTTGAAGTAACTTGTTTACGCCGCCAACGAATTAAAAATAATTAATCTGTTCCAAATAGTATTTTGTAGAATGATTTAGATTTTCTAGAAGCTTATCGAAGGCAGGGCTTAGGCGTCGGTAGACCCACCTATATAAGGGATTGACAGGCACGGACGAGGAGAGACAGACGGAGATTTTTCACATAGATTTTCTTAACATTACGAGGCGTGTTTTATTCTTTGTGTATTTGTGTGCTCCTACTTATATGTGTTTATTCCGCATTATTTATTGGCATCATTATTTCTAATTGTATTAAGTGTGTACCGGTACGACATCTGCCATACTGTAAGTTGAAGATTGTAATTTTATTTTATTTTATTTTGTAATTATCTTTAGACATAATAAATCTTAATTAATTGTAACTAGAAACTGTTTTGGGTCGTATCTTTAATATTGTTGATTATATGGTATCGTCCTTTGTTAGGCACTGTTTACAACGAGCCAATTAAAATTAAAATAGGAGATTAATTTCTCCCAATACAAGTCAGTGCGTAACAAATTGGGGGCATCGTCCGCGATAACCGAATCCATATTTTATTCTCATTAGACCCCAATTTTAACAAATTGTGGGATTTTCCGAGGATAATTTTAATCCATAGTTTTTATTACACCAATAATAAATTGAGCGTTTTTTCTGTGGATTTTGACAAACTGTTTACCTTAATACACTCAAACTAATTTGAGATCACGATACCATTTTACGACACCAACAACAGAGCTGGTTACAATTTTTTCATTAGTGTGTGCACTAAGCTTAAATTTTTATAAAAAAATCATTGTTATATTTTGCCTGTGTCAAAATGGATTTTGATATTGAAAACCCATCAGTAGAGGCATTAGACAAATGTTCTAGGAAGGAGCTATTTTCCATTGCTAAAGCTCTAGAAATAAATGTAGCTCATTCGGCCGTAAAAAAGACCATACGAGACATGATCATCGTTCACTTTGTGGATGAAGACATGTTATCTGAAGATGAACTTGCCTCAGTCACACAACCGACTGATCCAAGTATGGAGCTCCAACTAAAGCTCAAACAAATGGAACTAGATGCCCAGAGAGAAAAAGAACGTGAGCTTAAACAGCTGGAGCTAAATAAAGAACGTGAGCTTAAACAGCTGGAGCTAGAAGCTCAGAGAGAGAAAGAAGAAAAAGAACGAGAGCTTAAACAGCTGGAGCTAAAAGCTCAGAGAGAGAAAGAAGAAAAAGATCGAGAGCTTACAATAAAGTTAAAACAAATGGAAATAACGGCCAATTTAGGAGCAATGGAAAATAGACTCACGGCTCCAGCCGGTCAGGGTTGCGATGCAATTAAATTTGCAAAAGTAATCCCTAAATTTACAGAAAAAGAGGTTGACCAATATTTTGCGCAGTTTGAGATAACTGCCCAAAATTTTAAAATTCCTGAAACTATGTGGTCCACCTTACTTCAACCAGCCTTGACCGGAAGGGCATCTGAAGTCTTTGTGTCCCTGAATGCGGAACAGCGCGGGGACTATAACCTAGTAAAATCATTAATACTTAAGGCTTATGAATGTGTCCCCGAAGCATACCGTAAAAAGTTTAGGGAACTGTGGAAACGTGATGGCCAGACTCATGTTGAGTTCCTCCGGGAAAAGGAACGGCTCCTGGACAAGTGGCTGCACGCAACCAACACCGAGACAGACTTCAAGAAATTCAAGAACCTCATTCTGATGGAGGAGTTCAAGAACTGTGTTCGTACTGAGGTGCGAATACATATTGCAGACCGTGGCGAAGGTGACGCACATACGGCAGCAGTGTTAGCCGACGACTTCACCATCTCACATCAACTTTCCAAGAATCCATCTGACACCAAAAATGACAGGCACAATAAGACAGCTGTATCAACTTACAGTAAACCTCCACAAAAACCATTCAAGCCCGGTACGAAAGAAATTGGTGCAAAAGACACATGTGCCTACTGTAAAAAAGAAGGACATACGAGGGATGATTGCTGGAAACTCAAGAAGAAAACTGAGAAGACCACACATCCTGGTACACAACACAAAGTCTCCGCTTGTACGTCTCGTCATACATCTGGAAACACATTTTCAAAATTCAAGAGTTTTTGCTCTCCAGATGTCCATACAAACTTCAAAGAGGTTTGTCACGACTCATCAAAGAGTTCCATTATGAACAATAAGGCTAGTTTTACTGACTCCAGCCAAGTTCCTGCTTCGACTGCGAGTTTTATGAGCTTGTCGCCAAGATCCTTTTGCTCCAAGAAGAGGTCTACCTCCAGAGGGCGTTTTACTGAGGACTTGTGTGCAAGTTTTGACGACTCTACCCAGAGTTTTACTTCCTCTACCCTAGCCGAATGTTCTCAAGACTCCAACAAGAGTTTACCTACCAAGGTCCAAAATTCTACATCAGAAACTACTGATGTCATACAAGACTTCATGCCTTTCATATCGGAAGGATTCGTATCACTGCCAGG